GACGGAAGTCGAAAAACCCTTATCTTTCGAAGGAGATCGAAGACCCTTTCTTTCGAGGGAGAAAAGTTCCTCCTAAAAGGAGGAAGCATTATTATAAACCTTAAAAAAACAATAAAGAAATAAGGATTGGGGCTTTCCACCGATTAAAATCGATGGAAGCCTCTTCAAAATTCAACAATGGAGGCTAGAGTTTTGGAGAGAGAAAGGAGGAAAAAGGAGGAGATTTATCGATTCATTACTTATTTCAATGACTCTTCTAATTACTTTTCTTCCACTTTAAGTAAATGAAGCTGTTTAACCAAAAATTAAAAAAAAACAACGCAATAATTAAACTTTGTTCAAACTTCCCAATTTATCGAAATACGGAGTAGATATCTTTTCAAAAGAAAGTACGGAGTAGCCTGTTCTTTTCACCTTAAAAAAATAATATTAAGTAAAAATAATTTTAGTTCAGTAAAAATAAGTTCAGTTCTATAAAGTTAATTTTTGTTCAGTAAAAATAATTTCAGTTCAGTAAAAATAAGTTCAGTTCACTAAAATTCAGTTTTCTTAAAGAAGAATTATAATAGAAAATCAGTAAAAATAATTTCAGTTCAGTAAAAATAATTTCAGTTCAATAAAAATAATTTCAGTTCAGTAAAATTAAGTTCAGTTCAGTAAAAATAAGTTCAGTTCAGTAAAAATAATTTCAGTTCAACAAAATTAAGGTGAATCAAACAGGGCCATTATGTACTAAAATTACATCATTATTGCATTATTTTAATTTTTTATATAGTCCATAAGATTATACTTACCTACTTAAATTGATTTTCAATGAATATTACTAGTACTCCGTATTTTTTATGAGAAAGAATATATATATGGTTTATATGGAGCGGGAGAAATGTCTACATTTCAGTCCAAAAAAATTGGCTTGTAGATTCAATTTAGATGGGAAGTACTCATATTTTTTGGGAATTAAATGGGATTTAACAATTTTAGTTTTCAAAGTTTATACGTTAATCAAGGGTTTAAAGTATATACTTCCTCCATTATTTTATTATTGTACCACTTGCCTTTTTAGGAAGTTTCACAAATATTGCACCATTTCCTCTTTTGGAAAAAAATTATTTGTGTTCACAACTTCACACTACAAATACCTAACATACCCTTACTTTTTATCACTTTTTAGTTTATCAATATGTCACATGGGCAATTTTAAATTTACCTTTCTTTCTCTTACTTTTTTCCACTACTAAAATATTTGTACCCAATTGCTATGGTGCAATAATTAAAAAAAAAAGGGAGGAAGTATAAAGTTTCTGAATTATAAGGCTCTGTCATGTATGTAGCAATTATCTTGATCACTTTATTAATTATTTAATAAGTTAGGATGCAATAAATTGGAAAAATAAATTCTACGGAGTACTAAATTAGATACATTATGAAAAATTTACTTTTCAGAGTTGCTATTTCTTACAGCTTTTTTTTTTTTTTTTTTTTTTTGACAAGTACAGCTATTTGTTAAATCGTTATTAATACAAGGTATAATTTAATTGAGTTCATTGTCTTTATTTAGGGTGAAAAAGCTTTAACTGGCTTAAGTTATATGTCCTCGATATACGGAGACACGGAGTAGTATTTCTAACCTACATCTATCTTTTGAAATATTGATAAGTAGATTATTGGGTTTCGTTGTTTCAAGTATTCAAAACCATGATCTTTCAAACTATAGAGCCATTAATTGGATTTGCCAAACACTAATGAAATAAGTAAAATATTCAAATTTATAATATATATATAGAAAAAAAGATAGGGGAAAAGAAAAGAAGCTAAATTACCTTGTTAAAAATCTGAATTTTGTTTATAATTTTCATAGTATGTGATTCCTTTCTTCTCGGATGTACTGATACAATCATTATAAATAGATAATGCTAGAAGTTTACGTAAGTATGCACAACATAGCAAAAACTAACCAACTTCTATTACATTATTTTTTTAATACTTCTTTTGGAGGAGAGCAAATCATGGATAACGCAAGCCTAGCAATGGTACTTGCAATTTGGTTCATTGCTTTACAGTTCATTAAAATATTACTTACTGGCCAAACTTCCAAACCTCTTCCTCCAGGTCCTAAACCTCTTCCAATAATCGGCAACATTCTTGAAGTTGGTGACAAACCTCACCAGTCATTTGCTAATCTCGCCAAGATTCATGGCCCTGTAATAGTAGGATTTGGGCATTATAGCTATGAGTGTTGCACAATACATGATCTAAATCATATGCGATGATTTATAACGGATAGACTAAATTAATATACTCTGTATTATAATCAATTTTTGGATTCATTATATTGAGGGAAAATACAAGTTAATCTGTCATATAAACGAATTTTTGTTAAGCTGATGGCATTTTTGCAAATATATTTAAAAAAAACGGGGTCATTTATTCAGTACTTTTGATGAGCTGTCTAATTACTGTTTGCAACTTGCTTTTGAAATTACACATGTACCATTAGAGATGGATGTTATATAAAAAGTCAAAAGCAGTTTTGTTTATATAGGGAATTTAGTGGCTTTGCCTCTTATATTGAGCTAATTTTGAACCCCATTTATGATTTATCAATGCAAACTGTAAAACAATTCCTATCCTTAAGCTAAGATGAATTTCGGATATATCCAACATTGTAGATTGGTAACCTTGTTTGCAAAATGAGTTTCTTATTTTAATTTGACATAACTATAGAGTTTAGTATCTTTTCTATTTTTCATGTTTTGAAAATCGTTATGGCTTGTGTAGTGTTTTTGCAAACGAATTAAAAAAAAATGAACACATATAGATGTACTTTTCTCCTTTCCAATTCAAAATATAATTGACTTAAATTGTTTTTTTTACTCCGTACAATATATGGATACAAATTAGCAAGATCTAGTTCATGCACTAGGTCATGAAATCGGCAATTACTGTGGCAATATTCAAATTAGCAAATGCATGCTGTTGGTTTTTATTCATCTCAAAGAGTGTACAATAGTTTCATTTTTTCTTTTTTTTTTTTTTTGAAAATTATAAAAAGTCATAATTTTTGCACTGTGACCTAAAAAAAAATTGCTACAAAAAAAAAAAAAAAAAAAGAAACTGTTTAGTTCGCCTTATATTTGCTTATCTGATCCGATCTAATCTGTTCTGGTTTAATATGATCTAGTCTGATTTGATTTGACCAAACTTTGACCTTAAGTGTACGATAATATATACAGAAAAAATATATCAAATGAGATCTTGTTATATTCGTAATAATGTGTATTTTATTAATATGTAATTTTCATAATTTTTTTATTACAAAATTAAAGATTTTTAGCAATAAAAAACTGCACATAAAACGATGATCTGATCTGAACTAATTTATTCTGATTTGATCTGATCTGAACTTATTTTTTCTGATCTGGTATGATATGAACTTATTTTTTTCCGAAATAAGGAAAAATAAGGTGAACTAAACAAGGCTTAATTGTGTTTTAAAAAAATGGTGCTACAATAAATGTAAGTTCAATTCACAATACGGAGTACTCGTAATAAATTTCTTGGTTATTCATGTAGCAACTGGTTCAATAGTTGATGTAAGGGTACTTATCAAGCGAGTCAATCACGAGCTGAGGGATGCTCAACTCAAATCGAAAACTTCTTACATATGCTCAACTCGTGCTCGCTAAAGTTTTGAGCAAATAAAACCTGCTCGACTCGTTCTCGTTAAAGTTTCGAGTCGAGTCGAGTAGCTCACGATCTGCTCGTTAAAATTTTGGTCCTTCTATTACTATATACCTTTATTTATTTTTTGTTCAATTTATATTGTTTTCCATATTACTCCCTCCGTCCCCTTTTGATATTCCCTTACGGACATTTTTCACGAGAATTAATAAACACAAATAAGAATAGTTAAAGTACATTGAAAAGTAAATTGATATTGGGTATGCAAAAAAGTAGAGAAAGAAAGTAATAAAAGTACATGGAAAAACAAAATTTACGTGGAAAAGTTAAATTTGCACAAATATTGTTGCAAATTAGAGGGAATTTTGATAAAAATTTAATATTAATGGTTGTTGAAAAAAACAAATGAGGTGAACATTTTGGGACTAAAATTTGTTAATACAGGATTATCAAAAGGAGATTGAGGGAGTATTTATAGATATTATTAAACATTTACTCTTTCTTTTTTATGGTATAAATTAAGACTTAATAAGTGTCAAATTTGTTTAAAGATAATAACTTTATTTGCAAATTCTATATTAAGATTATATTATCGAGTTGCTCACGAACTTATCGAGTCGAGTTAGGACTTAGGCAAAAGAGTCAGCACGTGACAAGAGGCTTGTCACGTGCTGATTCTTTTGCCTATGTCCCTTGCATGCGGTCCACTAGTAGACAGCACCCGTTGGTCTCCTAGTCAGGACTCCCCTTTGTTTTGCTAGCCATACCTTAGCCATCAATTGTAAAGTTCTCTCAAGTAATCAAAGCATTCCTTTGAAATCTCTTGTGAGCATCTTTATTCTCTTACTTAGCCAATTTCGTAGCACACTTAGCCTAGCAAAACTAAGGGGAGTCCTGACTAGGAGACTAACGGGTGCTGTCTACTAGTGGACCGCGTGCAAGGGACTTAGGCAAAAGAGTCAGCACGTAGAGCTTGCTTAACTCTTGCTCGTTAACATCTCGACTCAAGTCGAGTTTCGACCAAGCGTTGACTGAGTCGAGTACGAGTTGCTCGCGAGCTGCTCAACTCAATTAGCACCCCTAAGTTGATGCATAGTGCTTAGTAAAATCAATAAATTGGATGTTGGAAATTCAAATGGTGTTGTATCAATAAACAAAGGAAACTTTAAAAAACATTGGCTTTTGAAATTCCCCTAGAAATTTGGAAACAGTGAAACAGCTACGAAGTATGGAGTACTGTAGAATAATGCATATGGGTTAAATCACTTCCACAATTAACTAAGCAATATAATTTCTCTATAAATAAGCTCTGACACCCAACAAAATATTTACAATAACTTTCATTGTTGCTGGAAAAAAAATTACACCCAACTACACAAATAATCCAATATGGCTAGTTCAGGAAGTGAGAGCAAGATGAGTTTGAAAATCCTGGTAGACATAAAGTCTAACAAGGTAGTGTTCGCAGAAGCTGGTAAGGATTTCGTAGATTTCATCTTTCAACTAATGTCATTGCCACTTTCTACAATCACAAAACTCCTGAATGAGAAGGAATTAGGCATGGTAGGTTCCCTTGGAGCACTCTATAAAAGTATCGAGTCTCTAGATGTTGAGTACTACGAAGCCGATAATAACAAAGATTCAGTGCTCAAGCCAAGAGACGATGTTTGTGTTCCTTTGTTCTCAGTCAATACTGGCCCAAGTCCCCCAACTAAGAGTGCTGCTGCATTTATGTGTCCGTATCATTCTAGTTGCGTTACTGATTATCAAGGGACATCTTGCCCCATTTGCAAGTTCGAGATGAATTCGGTATGCCCTACCGTAAGATACGCTCATCCAGCAAAAAAAACATTGAGCTGTGGGTATCTGAAAAGGGCGGTGAGTTACATGGTGATGGACAATCTGGAGGTCAAACCAATGTCCCTTTCGCTTATAAGGTCTCATGTCAAGGATTTTGATCACTTGGAGGAGAAACAGGTTGAAGTTGGACTCCAAGAGGTGATTATAATGTTACTACTGTTGAAATTCTACTAGTATTTAGCACGTCTTTTTATTGTGATAACCCTTTATGTGCTCAAGGAGTAACATTTTTCAATTATTTTGCAGGGGCTAGCATTGCTGAAAGCTTCTATGGAGAGCCAGGCCGTGCTAAGTACCGTCTTCCTTTCGGCTTTTCGAACTAAGAAAATGAAAAAGTGAAACTAGTCTCCTAGCTACCGGATCGGAGAGGCCAACATTAGCTATCTCTTGTTTCATTTTGAATTGTTGCAATTTAATTGCCTTTTGTGTACTGTCTTCGTATTAGCTAGTAATTGAATTGGTTGTATTGTAATTAGTGCAATTTAAACTTTTGATGTTTGATCATATCTTGTGATCTACGGCAAAACATTACTTTATGAACATGTAATTGATCAAATTTAAAGCCAACTAGCCAAGAGCATTTGTTAGAATTGTTAATTACTTTGCATTTGAAGATAAATGGTTATGATTTTGAAGTTCCATAAATCAGTCATTAGTACTCCCAACAATGTGGCAATACTAAATTAAAAAGGGAAAATATTATGCAGGTAAATCGTGAAAAAATTAAAAATTATAAGCACGTAAATCAGATCAGATACCAAAAAAAATCAATTTAGACTAGTTTAAATTTTTTTAATTCTCATTTCACTTGTTAATAAAAACCTTTGATTGCGAATTAAAAATGTGCAAAAAGTATACTCCGTATATTTGAAGAGTATTAGTTAGGTACTCCGTATAATTTAGTGTAAAAGTATTGTCAAAATTTAATTAAATGAATAGATTAAATCAAACCCAGTGAAATTTGATTCAAAACATACCTTAATAAATTTAGGGTCTATTCGTATTTATTGAAATAAGTTGAACTGAATTGTTTATGAAAAAAGGAAATTAATAATTGAACTGTAATTAAGCTGAAATGAACAGATAATTAGACCAGATTACGTTATTTTAAATATTGAAAACATACTGGTGAAACATGTAATTACTGTAGTAGATTTGTATTAATGTGTATTTTTCAAATACGTACATCTTTTAAAAATGTATTTTTTTTTATGATATTTTATACTACTAAATTTTTTATATTTACTGATAAAATATCGCATATAAACCAATAAATTATACTCTATTTAAATTTCAATTTAAAAAATAAAATATGGAGGGTTCATTCAATCAAACCATATCAATTTAGATTCAAACCATACTTTATTAGATTAATTTCAGATTACGCCAATTCAAGTGACGTGTATTTTGTGTGCGGCTAGCTACATCATGTGGTCATTGTAAAAGAACAAAATAACCTTTATAACATCGAACGAATGACTTTTGCATAGTAATATTAACCAAATAACTCTTTAACATTGAACGAAGTAACCATTGTAAGGTCAATGAAGTACTTTCTAACTTTCATGATAGCTAATCACACGCCTCACACCATGTGACGTGTCAGTGTGTGACCAACCACAATAAGAATTTGTGTTTAATTTAGAATAAGTCTTTATAAGATTTATTATTGTAATGTGTATATTTTTCAAAATATGCTTTTATCATAATTTTATATATAAAATTTATAATATTTAATGAAAAAAAAATGCATATAAAATGACAAATTATATTCAAAACTTTTTTTTTCTTATTCAACCTATTTTTTAAGATTTGATTTGAGACAAATAAATAGGCCATGAACATGAACTCATGAAGCAAGGTGAATTAACATAGCCAAAATCCTCGTCCTCTTGATTATTTTAATCTTAACCAAAATTAATCCAACTGAAGTCGCTAGTAATACGGACTTGCAGAGTACTGTATAATCTTTACTCTCAGATTTTGGTAATGATGGTCTTTAGCAAAATAGCAACAGGATGAAGCAACCCAAAGTCATTTGACCTCACTGCAAGGTGAGTAGTCATTTCGATTCAGTAAAAAAGAAGGAATATGGAGTAATAATTATCCTCGATCAGTAAAAAACAGAGTAATCATTTCAAATGGCAATGTTCAGACTTCAGAGTTTAGACACAGTGAGTAGTCATGGGGACTGCCTTGGAACTGCACTACGCCACCACATGACCATATCAATACATCATGCTTCGTGTGGAGTAATTCAGATTTTTTTTTTTCTTTTAAAATTTCATATTGAGGATTACACACATGTTCATAGTTCATACACATTTTATGGAATACTCACTCCGTTTTAAATACTTACGCCATTTTTTTTTTTTGAAACACTATGTCATTTTTCTTAGACATGCATATGGATGTTAATTTTTTAAAATAATATTCTAACAATTGAAAATTTATAATCTATTCATTGAGATGATTCCAATAAGTACCCACGTCACAAGACTATTTTTTTTTTCTTATGTATAAATCACAAACATTAGTCAAAGTAGGACAAATAAATAGTGTAAAAAATAGAAATTGAGCAATTATTTAAAAACAGAGGGAGTAATTTAAATACCGAGTACAGTACAATTTTTTTTAAGTTGTACTACGTATTTTTGTTGGTTTTAAAAAAAAATTAAAAAAAATACTACCTTCATTTTGTATTAGTTGACACGTTTTGACTTTAGCATTATTCACACACCTCCCTTTGACCATATTTTGTGATCTATATGTTAGGAAAAATATAGTCAAGTGGAATCTTGTTAGATTCGTCACAATATATATTTTCAAAATATCAACTTTTTATAATTTTTTCTTATTGATAACTAAAGATATTAATAATTTAATTTGTGCATTGGCAAACGTGACTAAAGAAACGTGTCAACTAAAAAGAAAAAGGGAAGTATTGTATTTGTAAACTACTTATTTTACATCTATTTTTAAATACTTTAGTTGCAACACTTTTCGTTTCATGCTTGTCAATGTATTATGTGTGATTTCAATAGATAATATCTTTAATTACCAATATGTAAAATTATAAACATTTGATATTAAAATAGTATACATCATACCGAATCTAATACGATCCCACATAACTAATTTTTGCATCACTTTTCTTTTTGAGGGTGTTTTTAAGAACTGTAGGTTTTATCACATGATTATATGACAATAAAAAATGTATTCCCTCTGATTTTTTTTTTTTTTATTTACATCACTTTTCTTTTTGGATTTTTTTTATTTATAAATACATCACTCCTATACGGTGTATTTGATAACTTTTTAGTACACTTTATCAATTTTCTTTTTTACTTTAAACCCACTCAACTTATTTTATCATTTCTCTCTCTTTCATAATCACCACTAAACTAATAAAAATATCTATCATTTCTCACATATTTTCTCTTTCATGGTCTCTATCTTACTTTACTATAATAATTTGTTCACCCACTCACAATATTATATTACTCTCCTAAAACTTTGTGCAATACAAAGTGATGCAAATAAAAAAAATAAAAAAAACGGAGAGAGTATATCTTATCCTTAGAAAGTGTTCGACATTCTCGTTGTTAATCTTTTCTTATCAATGTAGACACTTACATGTGTAGTTAAAAAAGACTAGAGGTGTTCATCATTATTAAAATTGAAATTTAATCTAATCTAATCTGGATAGCTTATTGGGATTGGATCTGAAATTTAAATTGAATCAGATGGATTAGAATTTTTTTAATGATTCAGATTTTCGAATTGAATTGGATCGACCTTGTTCGAATTCCAAAAAAATAGATGTAAAAGAATAAAAATCACATTAGACCTTAAAAATTTGTAACATATTTTAATTTAGATTTTTAAATGGGATACAAGCAACTTAATTTTAATTCCGATTGGATCTGATTGAATTCGGTAATTGAAAAACGAATTATATTTTAGATCAAATTAAACTTGGGGGTGTTAAATACCGCCCTCCAAAATTTATCAAAATCGCCATCATTTGAAGAAAAATGTCAATCCCACCCTTACTAAATCCTAACCCACTTTCCTCCTTTTTTTTCCTCTCTCAACAAACACTCCACCACAACAACCTTTTTTTTTGGTTTATCGGGAAGCTATTGGTGGCGCAAAACTCAGGCAGCAGAGGCGGTAGCGCGACCACCTCAGACAACAACATCGACGTGTCCTCAAGCAACAGCGACAGAATGGGTGGAATATGAAACATTCACGTTATTTTTTAGCTAATTCCGAGCTCAACTTGGTTCCCTAAGAACTAAATTGACCCCTAAAACCTTAGTCGAAGATTTTTCGACATGTAAACCGATGAAAAAGTTAAACCGGGTCGCAATTTACAATTTATACGTATTTTGGGTTGCAATTTGCATTTTTTTGTTAAATGGCTGCAATTTGCAAAATACGAACTTTAAATGACTGCGATTTACAAATTTTCCAAAGAAATTAGGAAAAATATTAGTAAGGGTTAAATTATCTGTTTCCTTGAAATGATGGAGGTGGCGATAATTATAGAGGACGGTATTTAGCATTTCACGGGCCTAAATACAAACCAAAAATTGAATAAAAAACCCCTACAAAAAGACCATGCATGAATATTCAATACTCTCATGACACATCCCATCAATATTTAAATAAATAAAAAAGTAAAAATAACAAAAAGAATTCATTTATCCTTTATAAAAACACTTGCACTTGCAGTAAAGAGCTTATTTCAACAAAACCCTAGAGCTAGAGCAGTACTCCAGTAGCAGCTAGTAGGTGAAAATGGCAGAAAATGGGGCACATCTAAGCTTGAAGTTGCTAGTTGACACAAAGGCAAACAAGGTGTTATTTGCAGAAGCAGGCAAAGAGTTTGTGGATTTCATCTTCCACATGATGTCTTTGCCACTTGGTACCATTGTCAAACTCCTTAATTCCAACAAAATGGTGGGTTGTCTTGGAGACCTCTACAAAAGTGTCAACAATTTCTGGGATAACACTCATTAACAAGTTTAATGTTAAGGATGTTTCATCCTTGGCGGAGATGGAAGTTCAACTTGGTCTCAAAGAGGTATTTTTTGTTTATAACTTTTGTGTGTTCAATTCAGTTTGTCATTATAGTACATACCATCTTTGTGATTTTGACTTCCTAGCATTTTTCTGTTAATTTTTGTTTTTTATAACTACGTTAAAAAAATATTACACGGTAATTGAAATTGTATATTACATAGCACCTAATTTGGGTTTAATTTTGAGTTGTATATTTTGTGCAGGGATTGGCAATACTGAAAGCATCGATGGAGACCAAGGCTGTGTTGACTCTTGTCTTCCTCGGGAAGAAGATGTAGTGTGTTCTGACTTTCTGACCTTATAATAGCATAGGCATAGCTGACTTGGTTTAATGTATTTTGCTATCAAGTGGCTACATTTTGGGTCCGGTATGTTGATCGGCTTGATGATGTTAATGTATTTTTTTTGCTGAACATGTTATCTTAGAAGTTTATGACCTTTATGTTAATAGGATGTGAATTAGACCTTTAAGGGTGATATTGCTGTAAATCTACTCTAGCTTGCAAACTGCAATATATGGCCTTTTGTGTTGTTTAAATACGGAGTACTGCGTATCTTAGAGCACCCCTTTAAATTTTATTTATTACTCTGTACTTGCTTAATTATGACTGGAGAAAGAATGAAAAGTGATTAATGAACCATTAATAATATCTGGGCTGGTGTTATTATTCTCTTCATATGTCGAATTAATTAAAGTTGGGCATTATCAGATACGAGTAGTGTATTTACACAAGCAATATGATTATAATAATGTAGTAATAAATAAAATCAAGGCTTGTGGCCGGAGGTGTGATAAATGGAGTATAGGGAACCCAAATCAGCCGCCCATGAAATTATTTCATGTTCCGGTTCTCATCAAATCCTCAACTACAGAACTACTTTAATAATGTTCGTACTATTTAAACACTAGCTAATACTCTTACTGACATATCACCCTTTCAAGTATTTAACAAGTTGATAGAGTCAATATATATGGCTGAGGTAGTCAAGACTGAGGTGAAGCTGAGTTTGAAGATCATTGTAGACACACAGGCTAACAAGGTGGTATTTGCAGAGGCAAACCTCGACTTTGTCGATTTCATCTTCAGTATACTGTCATTGCCACTTGCAACTGTTGTCAAACTTCTCAATGCAAAAGACATGGTTAGTTGCCTCGGATCACTCTACCAAAGTATTGAGTCTTTGGAACCTAAATACTTTGAGGCCTTTCGAGACAAGGATTCTGTGCTGAGGCCAAGAACTAGCGTAGTTAATCCTTTGTTGTCATCGAATGACACCCCAACTTCAGTAACTTACTATTTGTGTAGGGAGCATAACTACATTAGTGATTTCAAGGGTATAGTTTGTCCCTCTTGCTTTAGTAATAAAACAATGCCTTTTCACACCAACTCCAAATATATTGCACCAAAATCATATGTCAAGGTTCTGGCAACTTATATGGTGTTGGATAATTTAGAGATTAAACCGATGTCGGCCACTCTCATCAAGTCGGAAGTTCAGGATTTTGATCCCTTGGTAGAGAAAGAAGTTGAAATTGGCCTTCAGGAGGTAATTGTTCTGTATTTTATGTCGTGATTTGTCATTCGTATTTGAGACTAATTTTTATCTTGTATTGATGTGTTTTTAATTTTTTGTTCCAGGGTTTAGCATTGTTGAAGGCTTCCTTAGAGACCAATTCTGTCTTGAGTACTGTCTTTTTAGGAAAGAAGACCAAGGGTCGAACACGTTCCACCTCCTAGTATTCTTGTAATGCGCTTGAACTGATTGTCACATTTAATTTTACTAATTGTTTATGTTACTCGTATTTTCTTGGAGCTAAAATCGACTGTGTTACTAGTTTACTGTCTTTCTAAGAAGAAAAAAACAAGGGTTAAACGCGTTACAGCTCCTAAGGTTATGTAGTTCACTTCATGTTGCATTTAGTGCTTATGTTATTTTGTTGGTGCTAAAATCATCCGTGTTACTTATTAGTACAATCTTGCTGTCGAATAATTTCAGTTCCAGTTTTAGACTTCTGATTTCAACACTAGCAGGCAGTACAATTTTACATATGGCTATAGTGTTTCATTTCATCTTATGCACACTACTGATTTGCTATGATTTCCTTGAATATCACATTCGTGTTTTAGAGTTCGAGGCAGGTAAAAATGATTTCAACCATAAATTTAGAAAATAAAGTTGTGGATTGCTGTGCAGCTAGCTCAGATCAGCTTAGGGACTCCAGACGAATTATGTTAATCAACCATTAAAAGTTTAATTTATGTATTTTATATGTTGATGAATAAAGAAATACATTATTTCATTACAGAGTAATTTTATAGTTCATTGTAGAAATTGAAACATACCAAACAAATATGTTTGAATTTTTTAACTCATTCAATATTGTTAAATTTACAAGCAACTCTACATGCATATTTAAAACGAGGCAAAATTAACAGTAAAAATAAAATGAAATAAAAATAATAGATCATTGAATTATGATTTATCAAGTTAAATTTTAGGTCTCTATAATTTCTCTGTATTTCTAATCTAATCAATCAATTACATATTACTAAAGGCAAATCTAAAATGACACTTGGCAGAATTATATTGAGTGTTTTCCCTCCAAAAATATTTGCTTAAAAAAAAAAAAAAAAAAAAATCTTACCATAATGAAGGATTAATGTATCTAAATAATGATTTGCTTAACATAAAATCTAATATAAACATTTTTAAATATTAAATTATTCATTATAACTATTATGTGATTATTTTTTTATATTTACTTCATAATTTCTAATAATTGGTGTCAAGTCCTTAATTTTTTTGAAGTAATGATATATGTAGCCCTTAGGGCTATATATAAGCAATAAATATACTTTCTAAAATGAAATTATGTTGGGAATTCACGACAAAATCACGCGCAAATAGGTGTAATAAATGTTAGCCCTGGGCTATATTTATCATTTTCAATTTTTTTTATGCATTTTTAGAATTTTGTTGTATTATTATATAACTACTTCGTATTAAACAATCGTGCATCTATTGCACGAGAATTAATGTTGTACTTTACTATATACTTAGTAAAATATGTGCATTGCACGAGAATAAAACTAGTATCTAATATATATAAATAAAGTAGGCATTTTTTCGGAAGCATTTGGCGCACCACATAAGAAAAGGTATTATTTTGGGATTATTTACGAAAGTTAGTTATTTAAAACTTATTTACACTTTTGCGTCGGAATAAAACTTAATTACGAAATTATTATCCACGTAGGCTCGGATAAGTTTTTATTTTATTTTTTTATTTTTCAAAGTAAAACCGCTACCTCAAGTAGCTACCTCAGGTAGCGGTTTATGTACTAAAACTAAAACCGCTACTTGAGGTAGCGGTTTTACCCTTCATAAATTGATTAAATGTATCTTTACTTAAGTAGCGGTTTTAGACTATAACCGATTATAAATGAGACTAACATTTTAAACAGAATGAGTATATTAAATAAACGCATAGGCAAAAGACTAAAACGAATAAAACTAAATCTCATAGGACTAATTTCTCATAATTTTTAATAGTTAAACGATTATAAATGAGACTACCATTTTAAACAGAACGAGTATATTAAATAAACTAGATTTGTCATCTATTTTATGAATTAAAAATTTCAATTGTCACATAAGCAAAACTAGTGAATAAGGTTTGAGATTTTAAATTCAAGCGTCACATAAAATTAGTAAAACAACAAAAGATAACTTTAGCGTTAAAATTAAAAAATTATCTTATGATATTAAAAATTTTATCCATATATTTTAATGAATGATCTTCATAAATATACAAAATTTTAAATTAATAAAATAATTTATTAGAACTGTGCATCGCACGGGCTTCCATCTAGTTCATAATATAATAAAAATACTTGGAGAGCAAGCACTAATATATGCTAATATTCCCTAGTAATCTCAACTACCTAATATAGGTCACATTTAATTAACATATATCTTTTCACTAGATAATCTCTAAAATATTATCTCAATAATATTAGTTTACTTAATTGAGTTCATCTTTACATTAATAGTCCCAAGAATCTTCTATATATTATCAGCATAACATATTTCAGTTTACAAACACAAAGAAAATTCAGAAATTGCAAGTAGGGACTATAGTTTGATTGAGAGAAGACGAAAATCATAGTAAACAAAAAGATTAACAAGGTCATTTTTGCAGAAGCAGATAAGCAAGTTGTTGATCTCATCTTCCACATTTTATCATTGCCGCTTGCTACTGTTGTAAAACTCCTCAATGAAAATCAGAAAGGCGTGATAGGGTGTCTTGGAGACCTCTACAAAGGCATTGACTCTCTGAGCAATGACTATCTCCAGACTAATCTCGACAAGAACTCCGTGCTCGACCCTATGAGTGCTGTTGTTGTCCCTTTGCTTACGAAACAGCCACAAGATTGCTATAATTATTATGGCCCTAAATACTTAAAATTCTATTTCTGCGCCAGTAGTAACAATTGCTGGATAAGCGATCGCCAAGGAACCTTTTGTCCTCGCCACCGCAGTGAGATGGCTCAGAAAACGTTGGAATATGTGCCCAGAGCACCGGGTTATGTCAAGGAGGCGTTTATGGTGATGGATAATTTGGAGATCAAACCCATGTCTGTTTCTCTCATTACCTCCCTTCTAAAGGACTTGACTTCATTTGAAGAGAGACAAGTTAAATTTGGTCATCAGGAGGTAATAAATTTTCAACTTTTAATTGTTTATATGAACGTGGTTTATGAAAGGAACGCTAGATTGATACTGCATTATTGTGTTATGTTTGTTTTGGCAGGCAATAGCAATTTTGAAAGCGTCTTTGGAGACCAGATTTGTACTAACTACTGTCTTCCTTGGGACGAAAGTTTAGTGACCACTGAACCAACTCCAACACATCAATGGTCTTTTTTTTTTTTTTAATGTGGCAATAATGGAATCCTTTATTTTCTTGCTAAGATTTTAGATGTAATGATGCAATTCCGACGTGTTATTATGTTATGCTACTGTTAATATTATTGATTATGACTTTACAAATGCTTTTATGATCAGAATTAGCCTCTTATTATGTGTGGAAATTCAGCATTACATTTTTAAGAAATGCAAGTTTTCACTCTATTTTGAACTTACCATTTTCTCAAGCATCAATTACCATATGGTTAAGACTTTTTAATCATGCTAACATTCAAACTGAGCTTATATGATATGTTTGGCAAGAACGTTAAACATGAACAGATTTAACTTATACTGACGCCTCTCAAGGCCTCAACCAATAAAAGGGGGTAAAACAATGAATCACAATTAAGGTCTCAGTGTCAAACCATACAACTAATACAAGGTATAGATTAAGCATACATGCATGAATTTAAAGCCTTATGTGAATTTACAAGTTAAATCATCACCTGCCAAGTTTAATTTACAAAGATTGTTTTTAATGTGGCAATAAAATCGATCTATAACTTAAAAGGTTGCCCTTGATCATAAAAGCATTAGGAGTATTAGTTTGCCAATAAGCAACCTGTGCACGGTTAATTCCATGGATTAGTTGAATTGGATTCACTTTTTTGATATTAAAAAGTTTCAGACCAACTGACCTATAAAAAAATTTTCCCTTTCATTTAGGTTGGGTTCTATCAATTTATTCACTTACAATCTATGATTAGAGCAACAAGTTTTTATCCTAAACATTTATGCTGAGAAAAAGGGAGCTAAGTAGGCTTCTTTTTCCTGATTGAACTTTGAAAGACAAATAAGTAAATGAACAATGTATGCTTAACAGGAGTACAGACATACCTGAATGGGCTGTATCAGTTAACTTAGGTTCTGGTCCTTGGCAAGAATTTCACTTTCAGCAAAACAGCAGCACCAGAAATGTAGAGTATGCGGAGTAATAAGGCATAGATGCAATCTTCTACTTAGAAGGGATGTATCCTTAACCATCTGAAGCTGAATGGCAAAAATCCTTCATAACAAAAAATAAAATAAAATAAAATAAAAGACTTAACATCCAAAACAATCACTTTCATTGATGACCAGGTAGTAGCAAACATGTTTTTACACTCAAAAAATTCTATAATCTTCAACATGTTAGCACATAGTAGTGAGAAATTGCATAATCATAACATCAAATTAAAAACAGGAAAAGTAGCAGATATTGATGTTGAAGTTGTAAAAGATGCACTTTAAGTTTTTGTAAGGTTTCAACTGCAGTTCCAGCTTTGGTGTAAAATGGCACATCGAGGATGGTCTCCCACCTTATTTATATATTTTCAACTTATTCTACCAATTCCCTCATCAATATTGTTTATAGAACACAAAATATGCAAATGAGGCAGACACAACACTTAGAATATGTAATCCTTGTATTTGTTTTTGGCAATAACATCAACTGTACATTACGAAAATTGAATGAGAAGACAATCAGTCATTTTCTTTATACACCATAAGTCCAACATAAAGATACATACAGAATTTAAATTGAAGCTAATATAATGATACATACAGAAGAGGTACCAAAACTAAGCTCAAGAAAAAACAATAATTATACACCATAAGTCCAACATAAAGATAGCTTGGAACTTACTTCCTGCTCAATGCTATCTCTCCTGTTCGGTGATCCGATGCATATCAACATAATCGTGCTTATGTTTCATCGAATATTTTTCCAACTCTCCAATGCTGTCAAGCTATAAATTCAAAATTGCCAAGCAAAATCAGCACATTACAGCATTGCAATGCATCAAAATTCTTTGTCCAATCAAATTAATGCCTCGATGATTAAATTGATCCACCAACTGTTTTCAAAGAAGATTTCATGAACGGAGTCCATTCGCGAGGCTTGTGTATTATGAATGATGCCATTATAGCAGCAATTTTAGACTAACACGCCAAAATTGAAAGTTCATAAGAATTAATTTCTACAATTTGCATCAATTGCAAAAATCTATAGAATCAATCAGGATACAATTATAATCATAATTCAAGTCATTCAAATACAATCAATCATCAATCACCATTTGTCAATAACAATAAACCACAATAAATTCAATGTACCTTATTGTACTCCAAAGAGACGGCTTTACGGCGAGCAGCATCTTTAAAATCCTCAGTCCTATCCCTAATTTTCGCCATTGTTGGATCATACAATACACCAGAAGAAATTTCTATGAATTGAACTACAATTTGACCGAAGATGAACTGAATTTGCAACGATTTCGACTAAATTTCGAAGGAATTTCACCCTATTGATGTGAGATATAGACAGAGTATTGATTTTAGGACGCACCGCTGCAGATCGCCGTGATGCTAGGCGGTGACCGGGCGCTGACTTGGTTAACGGAGATACGATCTGAATACTATGAACGGTCTTTTATTTAATTTTAAGAAAACGGCCTGTTTAGGAGAGAATGAAATAATTAGAACTGAAATTAACTTAAGAGAACAAGCCTCAAGACTATGTGTTTTGTTTTTCATTCGATTCACTCTTTCGGCTAATTGGATTTGGGAATTAAGTTTTAGTCCTCGGCTAAATATTGTTGTGGGGATTAATTAAACCAAGATAATGTGAGATGACAAATTTTAGCATTACACCAAAACTATGTGAGATGATAAACCTTAGAATTAGAACAAGTGTTGCTTGGGAGGTTTTGTGAAACATTAATTGATTATTCCTACAAGTATACTTGTATAAGTAGTCAATGTATAATTTGATTGATTTCGGGCCTGTTCTTATACAATTATTTTCAGCTCAGTCAGCTCCTAATTTCTTTCTCTTATAAAATATTCATTTCAGTTCAGTTTAATTTAGTTCATTTCAGTCAATACAAACAGGTATAAGAGATACTTTGTATACACAATGCTTGACCATTACCATTTACTAATAGAAGCATTGGATTTTGTTTATGAAAGCGTTGCATAATGAATTACGAAACCCTAATCTATTCTATATGATCAGCACAATACAGAATACTCAACGGAGTGCATGAACTAAAACCTTGAAGATATGGTTGACGACTTTTATGATAGGATCCTGATTAAATTGTTGGAAAGTGTTTCTTATACAAAAAGTCAAAAGCAGTTATGTATGCATTTGCAATAACTCTGATACAAAAAGTCAAAAGCAGTTGTGTAAGTGCACACAATCCCTATGTAAGAGTATGAGTAGATGCCAGCAGATTGGAATAGAAGAGGACAAATGGACCATTAGAGATGGATCTTAATAGGATGAGACCACCATTAAGGCTTTGGGTCCAAACTATTATGGTCCCCCATACCCAAACTTATGTTTAGCAGTCCTGCACCTACGTTATCATTCATCTTATTAAACAACTATAGTCCATAGTTTGGCAAGTCCATTGATTTGGCTATTATGCAATAAAGAATTAGCCAGGCCATACTTCTTCCACCTATAGCCCTAATCCAATTGGGTACGTAGTAAGAAATAAGTCAAGTGGATCCACTTGATCACATAGCTTCCACTCGTCCATAATATCTATCCTACAAAACTAATCAAGAGTGGGTTACAAGGTGATTCAATTTGTTTCAAGTGTCGTATTTGCGTTACAAGCATTAAACTCTTATATAAATAATAGAATATTAAATTAATAATCTTGTCTATATGATATTACTTGGATTCAAGCCTACAGTCTAAGAGTGGAAGCATATGTACAATAAATATCATATATGATACGAAGTGACAAAATACAATCCGAATATTGTATAATCATATCAATTAAGAGTAGCACAATAGTATATAATCCACCTTAATATCACAATGAGTTTGTAATTCTGCTTGATTTTCTGGAATCCATTAAAATAAATTATGATAAAGCTGATTTTGAATTGATTTATTTTGATATTGTAAATCTGCTTGATTTTCTAGAATTCAATATAAAATCAATTATTTTAAGCTGATTTAAAATTGATTTGTTCTTTGAAATTCTATCCAAAATAAAACCGTATTTTGAAGAAGTGTAACTTTTCACGAACTTTCGTGGCAAAGTTTACCAATGAGAGTTGCTTACGTGCTTAACTTGGTAGTTGAAATGCTGAATACATACAAAATTTATTTCTTCCCTGAATTTGATAGTTACGAGGTTGCTGATGTTTAAAACAAGGAGTATAAAGTATTTCTCTTATCAGATAAAAACAATTTAGTGAGTAACTTTATATCAGGGGATGCCCATAACCAAATATCAGTATCCGCCCTTTATACCTTCGAAATAACTGCAGAACATTTGCAGCTCTTAACACTGCTCATTTTCTTAATTTCATCATGTGCTTTTTTTTTTTTTTTTTTTTTTTTCCTTTTCTGTGCTTTCATGCAAACGAACACTACGGAGTATAATGCATGGACGGAAATACCATATAAAATTTTATGTACATATCGTGTGTGTCAGACTTTGCAATATGAGAAAGGAGGCCGAATTTTCTCATAGATTAACCGGGTCCTCCCAATTTGGTTTAACGGGGTTTAATCACACAAAGGGAAGAAAGCAAAGGGATTCCCCACCCCCAAAGTAGTTCTAGTGAGGTTTTCCCGAGGTGACAAACTTTATCACTAGACTAAGCTTTGATACTTGATAACGAGTATTTGATACGGAGTACAAAGTATTTTGAATACATGACATGCTATGCCACCTATTGAAATATGTGTTTTACAAGAACCTCACAGTACTTCCTCTTTATTGTATCTTACTGGTGATGAATATATTTAGGAAAAAAAATGTCTTTTTCCCCTTTTTAGGAACCTAATAATTCAATAAAGGGCCTATGGAGTATGACCTCAGCATATTTTGTTGGTGAAAAAGGGCAGAAATAAAGTATAGAAATGCATGAACTTTAAATAAAAGCAGCAAAAAAAAAAAAAAAAAACAAGTGGGGAAAATAATATGCTTCCTATTATTTTTTGATTTTTCATTTTATTTATCCTTCTCTCCAATACAATGCAATACGTACATATTACCCACTATGAAGAATCACAGGAAAATCCCCAAATGGACCAAAAAGCCAAATAGGAAGTGTAAACTAAAGTTGCTGATAAAATTTAAAAAAAAAAAAAAAAAAAAAAAACACTCACACACTACTAGTTGCTGATTACTCAACCTAGTTAATAAGGCTTAAATATGTGTAAAAATATATATTTAACCCTCTAAATCAGCAAAGACATGATATGTTTTAGAGTCAACAGCGATTAATCTCAAAGCAGCAATGAAGGAAGCTACAGACATACAGGAGAAGAAAACAATATTGATCCAGAGCCATATCTTCATTGCCATGCTCAACTTGTTCCTCTTCGCTTTGAAGTACATGTGATTTGCTAGGATAAAGGTGAGTGGGAAAGTACTGATAGCACCTGTAAGGCTCATGAAATCCCCTAGGAAAGGCAGAAGAGCTGAGACGAAAGTGTTCAATGCTAGGTAACCTCCCCTGATTAGTACTCGCGATCCCAAATTTTTTGGATGGAATGCACTCCCTGTGATCCCAAACCTTGTGTCAAGGTATTCATACATTGGACTTGCAAATATCTGAGAAATACAAACAATAAGAATTATGAACATTTTTTTCATGGATTTTGGAAATAAAAATCAAAGACAGTCGAGATGTAAACTTACATGTAAAGCAATGACAGTTTGAAGGAAAGTGCTGATATTAGCCAAGGCCTTCACCCAAACAGGACCATGGACATTGTTCAACAAATAGGAGTCTGTTTTATTTCCGTATGCCCAGTAACCAATAAAAACAATAGCATACATGGGTACAACTCCAGCCGAGAATTGAAAGTACAGGGCTTTCATCATGTTCCCAACCACAGGCTTTCTTACTGTTGCCTGCTCACACAATTTAATTGCAAAAAAAAAAAACATGTGAGAATTAAGATTCATGTATCAAGTATTATGAGTAGAATAATGCAGTTATGTGAAAATATATATTATCACACTTCATTTAGGATTAAGGAAGAAGCGATTACACACCTGAATCTCAGGAAGCATTCCTGTATTAAACGCAAAGACCAAATTAGCAGCTGCTCCGATAGTTGTAAAGACTTTACCTCTTTCAGTTGGTACGGTGTAGTCTCTAGGCGGAGAATTGATTCCTGTACATCATTAAAACACAATTTTAGTTTATTACAGTAGTTGTATGAACACATCATATTGCTACAAGAGTACAAGATATGGGTGGTTTGCGCCTAGCTTTAGATTGCGCCCTTCAAGTTAAAGGTCTTGAGATGACTTTCAGATGAATTTTGGACAAAGCAACAAGGCAAGGCAAAAGGGGCAGAGATAATGGTCTGAACAGAGTGAAAACATAGTCGGGATACATGAAGACTCTTCAATTCACAAAAAAAAGGTTCAAAGTTAAGGGTGACAGATTATATGGAAAGGGCATAGTGTTCAAAATTGCAAGTATTGTATCTATCTTTAACTAAGTCGCAAACCTACAAAATTCGATGCATACATAAGCTTAAAAGTTCCTTAAGTTCTAAAAGTTAGTTTTATTTACGTTTTACAAAACAGGCATACAGTATATTTGATTGGTACAGTCTAACATGTATGTTTTAAACATGTAGTAATATTAGATTACCTAGATTTAGCTTTTCCATTGAAGAAAAACGGGGAAAATGCAGCAAAATAAGACAGCAGTACAACAAATAAAAACGAAACTATAAAATCTTACCACCGGGAAGGTTTCAGCAACCAATCCTGCAACTCTAAGAAGAATATCAGAATAAATCATGTCTCTTAGCTTATACAAAATGATGCATATAGTATCATACATGCTGATTTAAAACCTATTTGTAGGCCAGGTACACAGATTGATATATACAGGATTCACATGCTCACTAAATTCTACATTACATCTCAAAAAAAACTATTACTAATGAATCATTAGTAATTACAATAGATTGAATAATAGTTTGTAACATAGACTACTAAATTTAAAAACCCATGTACTGTGATGTGAGCATGATTTTTTTTTTTTTATTATTTTATTTTTTTATTTTTTTTGTAAAGAATGGTAAAGGCTGGAAATGGAATCAGGCATTACCATCTTTAAGTGAAAGAGCAATAGCAATTACTATGTAAATCAGACCGAAGAACGTTGAAACTCCAAGCCAAATTCTCAAAGCAGACAAATGAGGAATCCCAATGGCAAAAAGGGCACATACAAACCCAGAGATGATTATGCAATATGGAAGCTTCAGTGCATGACTTTCAGTGAACAACTCATATGCAGCCTACAAAATTCATATAAACAGAGTCAAAAATAATTTTAGTTAAGTAAAATAAATTTCTGTATACTTGAATATCAATTATTACATAAAAAATAAGTAGAACTACTCAAGATTAAATTTAAGATTTACCTTAATAGAAGAACCTGCCAAGATAATGAAACCAGTGTTGATCATAAAAAGATTGATATATTGCAAAGCCCATGTAAGTGAATAGGCTCTTGGACCTACAAAATCCACCAAACAATTTTATTGTAAGTTTTGCCCTTATGCAAAAATTAATAGTCACGCTGATAGTGTAACATGAGGTAGCAGCGTGACAACTAAATAGAAAAGGAAGGAGTAGTTTCGTATCGGGCATACCATAGATAAATCCAGCAAGGTCTCTGTATCTGATATGTCTTTTGCCACCATACTCATGAAGTTTGGCAATAAGAGCATTAGCATAGAGAGAAATTACAGTAGCAGCAATTAGACCAAGTACTGCAGGTATCCATCCAAGTGGGACCATTATAGCGCCAGAATATCCCAGTACATATGCACTGTTTATTCCAGTCGTCAGAACAAACCCAGCTTGCAGCCATGAATCTATACACAACCATATTTTACCAAATTATACAGTATCCAATGATGTAAAACTAATCAAATTACTGTAATTAAATTAAATTATACAAGTAATATTATAAACTTCTATATTATGCCAGACAAATTATAAAGCAACCAAAGTGACTTGTGACCCACGGGTCAATATCATAGACTAAAATAAATAATACGATTGTATAACAAAATTACTAACTTAACCTTGTGGAAGTTAAGATGCACCCCACAGACAAACATGAAACATGTTATCATCCTTAAAAATAAATAAATAAATAATTAAGCGGGAAAATTAATAAAACAGAAGCTAACCGATTGTCTTTCAGAGTTAACATGTTATTTTAAAATAATGAAATCACGAGGAAATACCATGGTTAGTTAGTTAGTTTATTAGTCTAATTCAAAACACAAGTATTTTTTTACTCATTTGATCTGTCGTTGTTCTTTTCTTTTTTGTGATCTATTTGGGTATAAAACGAGATAAATTTTGATCACGATAAAATAAAATAAAATAAAAATCTTGTTCATGAGTATCAATATATAAAATTTTTATATACGTAATCAAAGATTATACGAAGTTTAATTTTAAAAACAGGAGACAAACATTAAAAAAAGGTAGAAATTTCAGAAATTTAATTTTAAGAGTAGTAATTTTTTTCCAAACAGCAATATTTTCTTTTCTATAAACGGAGTAATATTGAAGGAGTGTCCATTATACACTTGGAAAGGTGTAACGTTGCACCTAAGACTATTTTGTTGCTGAATTGGTTAGAAAACTACACTAGGAAGAAACAAAAAATAGTTACACCAAGTGTCGCGGTGCATACTGAAAATTGCACCAAGGGACACGCATAAAAAAAACCAAAACAAAATTAAAATTTAAAAAATAAAAAATAAATAAAAAATAAAAAATTACACCACCACAAGCAAATTATTTTATAAAAATCACAAAATTCATAACAACCTACACGAAAGATAATGACATTTCAACACCCAACAAAAAATTAATTAAAAATAATAGAGAAGAAAGAGAAAATTAAAAAATTATACCAGTGCTGATCTGATGGGCAGTTTCGGGAACAACAACAGTTTGTTGTTTTTGTTGATGATTAGAATTATCGTTGTTGACGGAAACGGCGCCATTAGTAGCACCATTTTCTGGGTCGTAAGACGACATTGAATTATTATTTGGAGAAGAGAAAGAAGAAGAAAGAGGAGAAGAGGGGTTTTGTATGATAAATTCGGTATTAGCAACGTTGTTGTTGGTGTTGTTATAGTTGTTGTTAATGTTGTTAGGAATATGAATGTGTTGAGGTTGGTTGTGTGAATGGTGTTGGGAAAACAAGAGAGCTGTTGTTATTTCTGAGTCCGATTGTTTGGGGATGGCCTCCTTTATATACCCCATCTTCCAATCCTTGGGATCCTCCTTTTACTCTTTTTATTTTCCGAAAATTAATTTAATTAATTTTCGAAAAATAATTTATTTCCTTAAAAAAGGTGATTTGTTTTCATATTTGGAGCTAGGAGAGAGAAAAAGGAGTAGGATTTATTTTCATTTCCTTTTAGCTCCCCGCTATAATAGATAGAAATTCAGATTTTGTTTTATTTTTTGTCACGGAATTATTTTGGGATATCAGGGACTATTTCGCCTTTTTCAATTTCTTAGTGGGTGGTGGGGTTCACACACTCTTTAATTGCGTTCACCTTTCTTTTTTATTAACAAAAATATCCAATTAATAATAACAAAATAAAAAAAAATAATTCACTATTCGATTGTAATAATTATGATCTCTCAATTTGATGACTTGTTAGGCTCAATGTATTTAAAATAAAATTAACTCATTTCAAACTTGAAAAATACTTCTTTCAATTCAACTTAAATATAAAAGAAAAAACTTTATAAAAAGGGTAATGTTATATGCAGCCCTAAGGGAACTATATAAGTACTTAATATACTTCATTTTTTTATTACTCGTATTAAATTGGATATTTATCGATAATTTACGAGTAAATCGGTGTAATAAATATAGTTCGTACCCAGTTCAAATACATTTAGGAAAATGATATACTTCGTTCTTTTGTTTCATGACTTATAAATTTATACTCTGTACTCCATAATACTCCGTATAAAACTATGGAGTAATAAAATTAACATTCAGAAAAAGTTTTTTATACACAAGTATATTTTAGATTTACATATAATAAGTTCTTTCAAAAAGAAAAATAATTACAGATGAGTTAAGTTTACATTTAAGTATTTTACTTAATGTTTAGATTAATCTAACTAGTTTTCGGTAAAATTAATATTAAGGATCCCAAAGTTTTTTTTTTAAATGACATATGGATATAATACTCTGTATAATTTAATAATTATAAAATTCAAGTTCAAGCATATTTAAAATATCAAAAAATAAAAATTTTAATATCAAAAAATAAAAATATTTAAAATACCAAAAAATAAAAATTTTAAAATAAAAAAAATATATCAAAAAATAAAAATTTTAATTTTTTTTTTTGGGAAACATTTTAATATTATTCTTGTGATTTTAACAATAGTTGGTAACGGTTTTAAAGCGATCAATATAATAATTTCTTGCAATTATTTTTATAGAAAATTTTTACAAAAGAATGCTTGCCAAATATAACTTATCTATATCTACATCAATATATTAAGAATGATCTTATTTAATTATATTTGGAAATTATATCAACATTAAAGTATGTTGCCGGAAATAGTTTCAATCAAATCGACGATGGGATCTTATTAAAAGAATATTCTTTGTCATGTAACATTAAATCTTATCTAAGTGTTAATCACTATAATTGATTCACGTTTCCTAAATTACACTTTATCTTATAGCTAAATATGTCTAATCCAATTTGATTAACCTAATTACATTAGAAATTCCCCTTGTAGTAGAGTTTCATAATGTTTATTCTTTCTTACCTCTTTCAAAGAATAAACAATCTATTAACCTAATGGGACTCAATCTAGAATATGGGCCAATTTAAGTCAAAAATAAAATTAAGCCCAACTGGATTTATGATCACCTTTCGATATGACCTATAATCGCCTTTTAATGTGGGCATATGATTATAGAATGCAATATCTGGTTATCTGGGGAAGACTCCATCTATTATGTATTACAGTTGTCCGTTGAACTAGAATTAAACTTTGAAGGCTTGTCACGTGGGGGTCTGATCAAAGTAGTGATACTGATTTTGGTCCTCTAGTGATGTTGATTTCGTGATACTCGTATTATTCGTATATATTAATGTATAAATTCAGCTCCACCGTATGCCGTATGGTATATTGGTACGGCATACGATCCTACCCCTTTCTATTTTAATTAAAATTCTCTTTTTTATCAATGATTTCTGCTTCTATATTTTATTTTTGACTTTACGGCTTTATATTACTAAGGATCTTGCTAACGAGCGCCCCGGAGCGTTATATAAAGATAAATTATAATGGTTGAAATGGTATTAAGTTAGGAATTCATGATAAAATCAAGCGTCGTTCGGTGTAATTAATGTTAATTTTACTCTAATATTTGCACTTTAATTCTCTTATCTGACGCCCTGGGGACGCTCATTAGCTTTTGCCTATTAATAACTCCCCAGTCAAAGAAATTGAGTTAATTACTTTCCTTTCGGCAGTGATTCAACAGTAACGTATAATTGCCTTAGCTTAGTAAATTATGTAATAAATGTGAAAGGTTTAATTTAAAAAATATGTCCTTTTTCCTTCAGACCATGACATGCATAATGTCGTTCATAGTACTCCGTTATTACGGAGTATAATTTTTTTATTTATTTATTTTTATTTTTATATACTCCATAAAAGAGTATTACTACGTTATTGGTTTATAGATGATTTCACCTCACAATTTGAGGTAGGATTATCCATTATTAACATTAAAACAATTTCCATTCAAAAAAGAAAAAAAAAAAGCATTAAATCAATTTGAGGGTAAGGATTCTTTTACTCTCCTCCCAATTTTTAAGAAGTTTTGCATGCCAACTCACCTAGATTAGGTTAACTGGTTTGATAAGACACATTATATCAACTTAAAAAAATAATATGACCTTCAAGTTTCAACTCTTTGTTTATGTTAAGAAAATATTTGGTTAAAGTGGAAAAAATTACAATAGACACAACAGATATACTAGAAGTTTGAGACACCGAAAATATTTGGTTAAAGTGGAATAAATTAGGACAAAGGAGGTAATACATATACTCCCTTCATTCTAATACATAATACATGTTGGTTTGTTGATCCCATGAACAAAGGTTAATTGAGTGAAATTGTTATCCTACATTAAAATAGTGTAAAGTAAAGAGGAATATTAATATGTCTATCAACATTAAAAAAAAAAAAAAAAAAAAAAGTTATCTTCGCTTTATAATCCCTAAGAGATTATCATCTTCATAATATTGTTTTGAGTTATGTATAAAGTGAACATTTTGGGTGAGTGTGGCCTAGCCCATTTATCATGTTTTAATGTTTAAACAAACTAAAAAATAATTTTAAATAATTTTAAGACGCTATTCTCTTTGTTTAAGAGTTTTTTTTTTTTTTTTTTGATGGGGATCATTAATATTTACACGTAGTTATTATAGTATAGAATCAAGGAGAGGGATAGAGTATCATAATTAAAAGTTTCTTCAAAAGGTGAGTCAATTTGGGGTGAAATAAAGTATATTGTTAACAAATAAGGGGAAAAAAAGGATGGATTTATTTTTTTATATATTAACGTTTTTTTTTAATGAAATGGCCTAAAACTAAAATAACCCCATGTATATAACTAGAAATTGATATAGAAAAAGTATAAAGTATTACCCACTTCCAACATCCAATAATAGAGAGAGTTTGTTTACGATAGGTAACAAATATAAATCCCTAATCCCCATTTATTTATAAGTTTTAATGCCCTTATGACTAATTAATGACCCAAAAAAAAAATACAATTTCAAACACATGTGAAATCATTGATTGGTCTTATAGATGGTAGAAAATGACACCAAAAATATCCATACGACGAGAGAAAAAAAAAAAAAAATCCCGTGATTAGTAGTATATAATGAAAACACATGCATAATATATGCACTAGAGATTACACAATGAACAAGCAAGGAACAAAGGACGTGCCAAAATTTGACAAAAACAGGAATATATAGAATTATAGATAGACAGAGCATCATAGACTAGAGGAGGAGATATTCAAATGGATAGAAGTTTAGAATGTAGGTAGGAACATAAAAAGTAAGAGAATCATTTTAGAAAAGAAAGTATTACTAAACTCTTTCTTAAAGTAATTTGTCCAAAATTTGTGTGAGATTCCAATTCAAGTTCATCTAGCTGCTACTACGTCTCTCTACAATAATTTTGGGATAATTGTCCGTTTATACGAAGTTTGAAGTAATTGATATTCAATTTGATTTGGCCAACCACTTCGGATATGTTTTTCCTATTATAGCTAGTGAATCTATATTTAATATTGGTATGCTTAATTTCAATTTTGTGCAGATTACTGCAAATTTCAATTGCAACCTACTCGTAATAAGTTACTCAAGTTGCATTTTTTCAAACATGATAGGTACGTATACACACATGAACGCAAAGAATCTACTAATTAATGAAGCTCTATTATAAGAAGCATGTTGCATTTTCTTTTATCAAGGTTTAGGTGAACACATTAAGAATTGAAATTTTGTGTTGAGGATGGAGTTCAATATGAAGTCTTTGGCACTACCTTTCATGACTTATCAATATTTTGTATTTCGCGTGGTATCCAGAAAGAAAAAAAGAAAAAAAATAAAAAAATTCCATTGCCTTGAGCTAACTTCTTGAATTGTAAAAAATCTCTCATACTAGCTAGTAGATTTTGTAATTGAAATTCTAATATTGTACGACTACATACAAAATACAAAGTATACTTTTCCAAAAATTACATGATATGGTATATAATAATATACTGATGTATTATAATTATTGAAATCCATTGTAAACCCACTTGTTAGTGTTCGTTCCACATTAGAGAAAGAGGAAAGTTAGTTTCACTTTTCGAACTTCTCCTGAATCCATGGGCACACAAGAGACAACAATGCTGAATTTTTTGACTTTTTTTTCGTCCGGAAATAAAATTGCCGAAATGTTTAATATGGTCTCTAATACCCTCCGGGAGTCCAATTGGGTGGGTAGAACTATCCAATTTCCCTTTAAACGACCAATTTACCGGTTTACAACTTGTGTCAATTTCATTAACTCAAGTCTACCACAAACATTTATGACAACATATAATGATCATATATGGTTCCAAACGACAATATATGACCCCGAGATGTATCCCTTATAATCTAAAGGCTTTTCAACACCGGGCCATGAAACCTAAAAAATTTCTCAAAAAGCGTAGATATTCAATTTTGGAATTTTTTTACTTTTTTTTCGCCCGGAAATAAAAATTGCCGAAATGTTTACCATGGTCTTTAATATCCTATGGGAGTCCAATTGGGTCGGTGGAACCATCCTATTTGCCTTTAAACGACCAATTTACCGATT